AGACAAAGCTTTAGTTGGAGACTTTGATTCCCACCACACGAGTTGGGGTTTTAGAACTGATCTGAATGGGAAACGCTTGTAGGAGTGGACAATGGCTAATGACCTGACGTGCCTCAACGTCAGAACCCCCACATTTATTCACAATCACTCCAGGTCAGCCTTAGATTTAAGTTTTGTCAGTTCAGCTATTACTACTTCTTCTTGGAAAGCGCTGGACTGTGGCACCAACAGTGACCACTTACCGATAAGTTTTGAAATTTCTTGCCCGATGATTCCATCTTGTTCAAATGTAAGAGTATTTGTAAATTACACTAAATTTAAGAATGATCTGAAGTCAGCATTGGCTTTTCACTCGGAAGAGAGCGATGATACAAAAGCACTAAAGATAAACGCAGTCATTAAAAGATCCTACAAAAGAGCCGAATTTACTCTTGAGTCCTCAAAAAGGGTATATAGCCGTTGGTGGAATGATGAATGTACAAGAGAGCACCGACGACGTCAGGCAGCTTGGGAGCAGCTCTTACATGATCAATCCCCCCAAAACTTGGCCGATTATAAATTCATTGCAGTGGGCTTTAAGAGAACGGTAGCTCAAGCTAAACAAGAATATGACAGAAGACATTATGTATACCTGTCGAAGCGCAAACGTATGAAAGCACTGTTCCGATATATAAGAGCCCGGAAAATCTTGCCATCACTAGTTAATTCAGCTTGTGATAGTCTGTCGGCGCAACAAATGACCACTACCTTAGAAGCAATCGGTAAAGGTCTGGAAAGCAGATTTACTTCAGTAGTGCCAAACAACTGGCACAAGTCTACGACAAAGTCAGACGTTGACGATGTGACACAGACTGAACTATCCAACGTGAATAAACATTTACCCTGTGCGTCTCCTGGCACAGATAGAATCACAGTACCCATGACTAAAATTCTGTTCAATTGATTGCCTCGAGACGTCGCCAATGTTATTAACTACTCCTTAAAAAACTCATGGGTGCCGCAGGATTGGAGGATAGCAAAGGTGATTCCTATACTAAAAAATCTGGGTGTAGGATTAACAGTCGATAATATCAGACCAATCTCTTTAACATCTAACAGGGTCAAACTAGTAGAGAGGGTCCTACGTAGCCGAGTAAGTATCTGGAAGGCAGACAATTTAGTAATGAAACCTAACCAAATCGGCTTTCTTAGTGGTTTCTCTATTTGGTGTGCCCATGCTGATTTAGAGAGCCGAATACAGCTCGCGCGAAAAAGAAGGCAATACGCTGCTTTAGTAACGCTTTACATAGCCAAGGCGTATGACAGTGTGGAGCACTTCATATTGTTAAATACGCTAAAGAGATTGAATTTCCCACAATATTTTATTGAGTGGGTGGCAGAACTTTTCAAATCGAGAGAATTCTACTGTGTCAAGGATGGATGTTCCTCATCTAGATTTAAACAAACGTACGGAGTTCCCCAAGAAGAAGTCTTATCTCCAGTGTTATTTATTGCTTTATTGAGCACAATTCAACCAGATCAAGAAGTTACTATCTACATTTATGCTGAGGACATCGCATTCTTTGCTGCTGACTGTGGTATTTACTCACTACAACCTAAATTGCAAAGATATATAACATGTTAGAAATTTGGTTGCAGTCGATTTCGTTATCATTAACTGTCAACAAAAGTGCGCTCATGGTGTTTCCGCTTGCAGAACCAATTTCAATTTCAATTCTACATAAACAGGAACCCATCCAGCAAGTAGACTCTATAAAGTATTGGGGAATCATTTATAATGACAAACTTAACTGGAGTCCACACATAGAGTACATAACTACTAAAGCACAGCGGGCTTCAGGCTTACTGCACAAGCTAAGTAACCGGAAATCCGGAAAGATGAGCTACGGAGGCACACCTTGATAACGTTGTACAGAATGTATATGCGTCCTATCATGGAATTCGGCTGCATATTATTCTCGGGTGACCCTGCTTATAAAACGAAACCTCTAGTTGTCTTGGAGCGATAAGCACTGCGAATGTGTCTGGGACTTCCTAGGTTTGTGGCTATCAACGTACTGTACCAGGAAGTGCGCCTGCCTACACTACTTTGACGATTTCTAATTTTGACCGTACAAGCATTTTTGAAATTTATAGCTTACCGGCAAGAAGATCTCAATATGCTTTTATCGCAAACCCAGACGCCTTCTTTCTTGCTCATTGGCCACGGTTTCACACACCTCAGATAATGTTTGTACAAAAAAATCTACAAAGTATAAATGTGAACATCAGAAATGTAATTGAGACTAATGACTCGAAATGTCATGTAATAATTGAGTATAATGATATATTCCCCCAAAACACCAAGTTACAATCTCTCAAACTTTTAAATAACATATTATTATATTACTTGGAGCATGCAGAAACTAAAAGTATAATAGCCACTGATGCTTCCATAAATAATCAAAAGGCAGGTGTAGGCATTGCCTCTGATTCGCTTGACTGGTCCTTTTCAGTGAGACTGCCTGATTTTACTCTAGTTTTTGAAGCGGAGCTCGTGGCGATTATTTTAGCTCTTCGAAAACTTCCATCAAATCAAAACAACGCAGTCATAATGACAGATTCTCTTCAAGTTTGTGCAGCTCTGACAGCTTCAGAGAACTCTCGAATTCTAAGCACATTAAAAACATTAGTACCCCCGCAGTTGAGACTCCTGAGGTTACTATGGGTTCCGGGACACTGTGGATTAAGATTAAATGAATTGGCCGATTCCTTAGCACGAGCCGCACTTGATGGGCCAGTTTTGCCCATTATGCCAGATGTTGAATATATTACGGCAATAAGATATCGAAAATCAGCAATCTTCACTGATACGATATAAAAAGTAACTACATGGACAGAATATAACAACCTCATGTTTCCATGGCAACCCCACTGGAGCCAGTCCAGAAAGCTCGAAGTTTTAATTACTAAATTTTCATGTCGTGTCCCCTCCCCTAAACCTATATCTACACAGAGCTGGTCCGACAAAATCACCCCTCTGCGCTTTCTGCGGAGAAATGGAATCACTAGATCAGTATTTTTTGTATTGTCGCCGCTACGCCATACTTCGAAAAAGGGTACTAATTATTCCATTTCTGAAAATGGGCGATAGATTGACGGCGGAAACTGCACTAAGCTTTGGTGCATCAGTTTTGCGACATTGCCACAGGGATGCTTTCAATGCCGTTTGCAATTATATTCAGGCAACCAAGCGTATACCTTTGTGATCTACAAAAAAAATATTATTTATTACTCCCCAGGGCAAAGTGAGGTAAACGCAGCTGAGTGGTAATCACAACACCTGAAATCTCAAAATTGCTCAACTTGACTTTTTTTATTTTTTTCCTCGTTTGCTCTCTTTTTATGTGGTTTTCCTCACATTAGTCATATTATAATACAAATTCATTACACATAGTTAAAATGATCACACAAAAACTGCCCTACACTTTCTTGGCCAATCCCCCTGAGTAGGTATGAGCCATCATCCCAGGGAAATAAACAAACTTGTCCCGGGCAAGCTAGGACGACAAATACATTACTCGCTATCGCGTGATTGATAAAGGGTACTTGTTTGTGGCTCTCCGTATTTTCGTCGATTCCGCGCGGTCACATTATAGTTTGCTCTCTCCACTCCCCCCTTTCCCTATCCCTCATCCTTATATCTCTCAGCTCCACTTTTCTTTCCTGCCCGCTTGCTAAAGTACTATACTACAAAAGGCTGCGTTAGGGTCCGCTGGCGTGCCAAGACAGCCGATAGATTAGGATGCTCGCCATCAGATCATGCCTATGCGGCTTGAAATCCCACCTCGTCAAGGAGCTTTTTTTGTCATTTTTTTATCATCTCTCTCTGTATTCGTTCACTAACCTATAGGATTTATGATAGTCATGCGCTGGCTAAATCGGTGCACGTGTCTCGTGAACGAAGCCGAAGGTGAAGAGGAGGAACTGGAGCGCAGGATCACGATTATGATCATTTCCTTGGAACTGATTATAACCAATGGCTGGCATACATGGCTGCGCTGTTCGTAGTTTTCAACATACTCAAAAGGCTGCAATGATATGTGAAAGTTTTCACAAACACAGAAGAAATCGATAATCTTTCCAAGGGCTACTTTGATATTACTCATTGCGTACACTTCTAGTCATGTGGTCGCTATATTATTATCGTCGTCATCATCGTCCTCATCTTAATTATCCAGACTACGTCCACTGCGGGAAAAAAGGACTCTTCCATGTTCTGCCTATCAAGTCGGTCCTGCGCTTTCTGCTGCCACGTTATAACTGCAAACCTCTTGCATTCTCTGCCCACCTAACTTTTTCATCCCCTCACACGTGTACCTGCTCCTGAAATCCAGCCAGTTACCCTTAATGACCAGCCACATAGCTCATGTCCATTCCTTCTTGATTTATACTAAGATTTTCTTAACCACGTTAGTTCCCTGACCTACTTGTCTCTTAAAGCTACTCCTCTCATTTTCTTTTCCTTATATATGTTTCAGTCTATTGCCCTTAAAATTCGGTAAACGAGTTAAACAAGACAATCAGAGAAGGTCAAGCACAAAATACTCTCTCGCGGCTAAATGAATGAATAAAATTTTAATGACCCTAAAAATGTTGCGGTTTCAATTTGAAACACCATTGTTAGGCCTCCGCACAATTTACGTTGCACAGTTCCCAGCTTAATATCGTGCCCTCTTCTTCACAACCTTAAACAGCTCTTGTGAAACCTCTTGTCCGGCGTCTCGGAGAATACGTATCAACTCCTTGGCGTTGCGGTTTTGAGTAGGCGGCAGAAACGTGTGCGCCCTTCCTTTCCGGCTGCCTCGAATGGCGTGCTTAACGCGGAGCGCGTAATCATCCGAACTGCGTGGATAGTCGTAGTTCACCACGAAGCAGACGTATTCGGCGTCCATAACACGAACCATCATGTAAGTCACTACCACAACGAGCACACTGCCGAAACGGAAAGCGTTCAACTCCTACTCACGCTCCTGCTCAGTTTTCTTGCTGAGCATGCCCACGGCAGACCAGCCCCTGAGCCGCAAGCTCGTCACGAGGTCATCCACTTTCCCTTTAGACTCGACGAACACGATTGTCTTGTCCCGCTTATCGTTGAGATTGTCTCCGAAAATGGCTACAAGCCTGTCCTCCTTATCGTTCTCGTCGCAAACGCACACGATGGGCTCTGCACGGCGGCACTGGAATACCTGGCTCGTCTCACCGACGTGGACGGTCACGTAGTCTTCTATGAACTCTTCAGCCAGCTGGGACGCCTCGGTCGTTCTCGATGTCAGCCACATTAGCATATAATGGTCGGGTCGGACGTTTGCCACAATGAGGCGAAGCTGCTGCTCCAAGCTCGTCGCCAACATGCTATCCACTTCCTCTAACACGTGAAACGTTCAGCGGCGAACGTTCACCTTGCATTCATCCACGAGGTCTACGAGGCGGCTTGGCGTGGCGACCCAAACTTCGCACCTTTCGGCACGATGTTTTAGTTGTGCTTCCTTTGGCTAACCTGAAACAAGACACGCAGTTCGAATGCCCGATTCTTTGTCGTACCGGGAGAACATCTGCTTCGCTTTCTGAGCCAGCTCACGAGTCGAGGCTATGACCAG